AATCCCAGCATCCTGGAACTGTGGCCCCCCATAAGGGAGCAGTTTATCAAACCGGGATGTGTACTCCGCCACTGTTTCTCTTTTTTCACTTCCCCACTTCTGCCTGATCATAAGAAATTCCCTCTGCTACTCGGTCCGATAGGACATTGGTATGTAGTGGTCTTTGAACAGTTGCACGAACCCTGACCAAGTGATGGCTGGTGGATCCTCACGACTGGCTGGCAGTGTAGCCCACCAGTTGTAAGCAGCACCCTGCAGTAGGGACACTGTCAGCAACACTTTGTCCTCGTCATCTGCTCGCATCTCCTGTAAAGTGCGAGTGACTTTTGACAGCCACAAATCGATCTCCATGGGATCCGTCGAACGATCCCCGTAGAAATCCTCTACCTTCCTCTTCCGGAACGTATCATAATCCGGTGGACGCTTAGGTTGCGGTGGTGGTGGAAGGTTGACGTGGGCATTACTAGCTCTGCGTATAAGTAAGGCCCTTTTAGTAATCGAGTTATTTTTTTCCAATACGATTAGAGTAGACTGAAGATTTTATAAATCCTTAAAACAAATCCTTGACTCGTTTGGCCAAAACTTAAAACACGTTTTTCTTTTCCTTTAAAACATAAGCCTTTAAAACTACGACCGATATTCCAGTATTCCTTGGATACCAAGGAACAGAAGAACACCGGCTCTGATACCAAAATGTCACATCCCGATCTCTAAAACCCTTAAATAACAATTTTTGCTCCGGAGCATATTTAAAATTTTGAAAGAAAGAAACAATAATGTGCTCGAAATACCAATACTGAAAATACACCTTATAATTTAAAAGCAAAGCCCTAACATTTGGGCAAACCTCAATCCATAAAGTTTTATCATTTTAAATCTCCAGTCATTACTCATAATCATAAAGCAAATAACTAAAGATTACAAATGCTGCTTACTCCGATCCGTGTTCAGACATCTCCAGAAGTGCTCACGTGGTCCTCCTCTGGTAGCCTGCTCTCTCACTGGATGCCCCTCGACTAGATGCTCTCTAGCTCCTACTTTACGACCTGGTGAGTGGGTTGGGGTCAGTCTACGCCATTACTTAAACTTGAAGCACTTACGGGTATTCCCTTAAGTGTTCACCTCAAAAACTTGTGGAAGTTGCTCATACTTCCATCCTTTAAATTTTAACCCTTAAAAACGTGGGAGTTGTTGTTACTCACCACCCTCAAAATCTTAAACCTTTGACCGAAACTGGGATCCCCTCACTAACTAGTCCAACCGCCCAGCTCATACGTATGAGGGCCAACATAGGCCTTTCCTTAAACCTTTTTATGGGAGTAATCAATTCAACCCCATAAACCTTAAGAGTATATCATACTCTTCCTTTAAACTTCATGTGATGTCTAAGTGATTCATCCACATGTTCCTTAAGAGCAAACTTGCTCTTCCTTTAAACTTTCACTGGGGTGGGGGACTGGCGTTAGTGAACTACCTTTAAATCTTTTCACCCTAATTTAATTAGGAGTGAAATACCTCTTAAATGTTGATCCTTAAAGATCAAGCAACCTTCATTAAATACACATAAATATAAAAGCTTCAAGTAAATACTGAAAGCTCAAATAATCATATACTTCACAATCATAACTCAAATAGAGCATCTCAGATAATATCTCAAATAAAACATGCTCATCAATAACGACATAAATCAATCATTGGCATACAATTCACATAAACACACATACTTAAAACTCGTAAGTCAAATACTTGAAAATACGTAAGGCGTAGAATTTACCCCCTTAAACCACTCACCTCTCAAATGACGATTCTTAGTTCCCTTGATGTTTAATCCTTAATCCGATCGCTTCCTCAATCCTATAAACTGAAATTATCTTCCCTTAGTCGGTAATCATCATATTTAGTCTCTTTAACGTATTGGAAAAAATTTCCCTCATTGATCACTTAGTCCCAAAATCCTTTAAAAATGGCCCTCAATTTCTTTTAAATCAATTCCTTAAAACTTAACTTTTCAACCCTTTAATCAAGAATTAAATCATCTCAAACAATTCAATAACTCCTAAAATAGCTCTCATAAAATCCTCATAAATTTCTCAAAATAAATTTTCCACTTAAGACTCCAAATTCTGACCTTGGTTAACTCAAATAATTAATCTCAATTAATAAACATAAGCCCCTCTTTTAAATAACCTCTTTTTCCTATTAAAATTAATCATATATAATTTTTAAACCGAGTCACAAAAACTAATAATTCTCCTCTATAATTTTATAACCTCTGTAAATAATCATAGTTTCAGGTAAAATTATCAAATCACCCAAACGACTTCGTACAGTATTTTAATTAATTAAAACCATCATTCGTTTAATTTTATAAATACAAATACAGATCCAAAAATTCTAAAATTTATACACAAGCATTATACAAATATTCTCAAATTTATAAAATTATCATATTATGAAAATACCCACTGGAAAGTGTCGGAATAAACATACCCATGAAAACAAAATACGATTTTCGGGCCAAATTATCAAAACTTAAAACTATGAGGGACTAAGCTGTATGTACTGAATTCATGGGGGACTGATCTGGACAATAGCCCAGCAATCTTTTGCGACAGCGTCAATTTCGTCACTAAAAGACTGTAATTTGGTCACTGAAACCAAAAACTTGCTTATACGTTACTAACTCGAGTTAATCTTATAGACTCCGATCCGTTACCTTTGGGTTGATCTTGAAACTGGGCTTGATGATTCTAGATGCCGTTCCTCCTTGTTGATCCTCGTTTGAGCCCCCGACGTCTTGTGGCAAAGCTACGGTTCATTACGTATGCGGATCGATTAGCTACAACATAACTTGAGTCCGAAGGAAACTTGGGTTCGAGATTATTACCGAGCCTGGGTCGTATTTGCTTGGCGGGATAAGGCGGTACCGAGGGTCGTGCTACGAGTTGGCCAACGAGACGTGTCGGGGCCTGTGTGAAAACGAGAGGAAGTAAGGGCGACGGACGAATGACAACGCTCGCTTCTTGATTACTAGCTCGCGAACGTGCAGAGAGCAGTTGTGCAGCTGCTTGCTTCGGCTGCTGCTTCTCTAGGCGAGATCGGAATGGAGGGCGAGGTCCGCTGGTGGTGGCGATGTGTTTGTCGGCGGGGAAGGGATATATAACGAGGTTGGTTATGATAAATGGTGAGATGGTAGTGCTGAGGGAGTAGCCGATGCAATTTAAAGGAGATGAGAGAGTGATGGGAGCTCAGATTGTGATAGTATATGGAGGAGGAGAAGAATGTGGACGTTCATGAAAGGAAGGGAGACTTCAAGTTATAATAGAGGGCACCGACAGTGTTGCGGCTGCTCCATTCCTTACTTAATTTCCAATCTAAAATAGTGTGGGCATGGATGTGTTGTACGCCAGCTCATGCACAGTTAATTGATAGGAGGGGGAGCTACTCATTATGGATTTATGGAGTGCTCACGGGTATCACCGGACAAGTGAATGGAATTACAATGATTTTATTGTAATTAGTGCAATTATCATTGGGGAAGGGTGATTAGAGAAAAAGCTAGATTAAGTGTGATTTGGAGTGGGTGTAACGAGTGAGAGTGAGAGTGAGAGTGAGAGTGAAATTGATTCTCACTTTCTTTTATAATAATAATAATAACACTCGTTAGTGTTATTCCTAATTCATGTACGATTGCAACTCTTCGTACGTAATCGTTAATCCAACCGTTCATTTAGTATGGTTGAACCTGAACCCAAATATCGGAGTGTTACATTTCCTCCACCCTTATAAAAATTTCGTCCTCGAAATTGGAACTGTAGGGTTGGGACTAAGAGATCACCACTTGTACTGAGGTAAATCGTAATCTACTAGAATTGATTTGACTGGGATATAACATTTCCCTCCCCCTTAAGAAAATTTCGACCTCGAAATTGGTATTGTGCTAGCTTACGAAGTTTGGGCCTTCACTCTTATTACAACTGACATCATATTATTACTAACTGACGATAGCTGAACCAAAAACCAATGCAATAAGCAGATTTAAATCGTTCCATCTCATATCTTCCAACCACGCCCACATAGTCACCTCAATGTGTTGGTTCATCTACTCCATCGTCTCCAAAACCACCCTCCATCTTTCCCATTGCAAAGACTCTAGGTTGCCCACCAGCTCTCGACATTTGACCCTGATCCACACTAGTATGGTGGATGTTTCCGCCATTGTTGTTGGAGGATCGGTTTGGCTGGTTTCCAAACTGGTGCGCGTGGTGAGGTCTGCCTCCTCCGCCACGAACAGACTGCTCAGAATGAGCTCTTCCTTCCCCTTCCTTCCTGGGGCATTCTCTAGCAAAATGGCCCGGCTCATTGCAGTAAAAGCAGACTCCCAAGTGCAGCTTGCATACCCCTGGATGAATCTTCCCACACTGGTTGCACGGGTCCCGGTTAGCGAAGGTCGGCCCCGACCTCATCGAACCAGCCTGACTTTGGGTGCCTGCATAACTAACCGAACTGCTCGGCCTTTTCCTGGTCTGATTCATCGGGCTCGGTCCCTCTGTTATGCTCACAGCCTTTCTCTTCTGACCATCTCGTTGTACCCTTTCTTCGTACAAGCTATGTTCTACCATCTCCACTCGGAGGGCTGCCTGATAAATCTCCTCTCTACTGTTCCATACATGTGCACTCAGGTCCCTCCTAAGGGTAGGCTTCAGGCTCTCTAGGTAGTGACTGCGTTGAATCCCAGCATCCTGGAACTGTGGCCCCCCATAAGGGAGCAGTTTATCAAACCGGGATGTGTACTCCGCCACTGTTTCTCTTTTTTCACTTCCCCACTTCTGCCTGATCATAAGAAATTCCCTCTGCTACTCGGTCCGATAGGACATTGGTATGTAGTGGTCTTTGAACAGTTGCACGAACCCTGACCAAGTGATGGCTGGTGGATCCTCACGACTGGCTGGCAGTGTAGCCCACCAGTTGTAAGCAGCACCCTGCAGTAGGGACACTGTCAGCAACACTTTGTCCTCGTCATCTGCTCGCATCTCCTGTAAAGTGCGAGTGACTTTTGACAGCCACAAATCGATCTCCATGGGATCCGTCGAACGATCCCCGTAGAAATCCTCTACCTTCCTCTTCCGGAACGTATCATAATCCGGTGGACGCTTAGGTTGCGGTGGTGGTGGAAGGTTGACGTGGGCATTACTAGCTCTGCGTATAAGTAAGGCCCTTTTAGTAATCGAGTTATTTTTTTCCAATACGATTAGAGTAGACTGAAGATTTTATAAATCCTTAAAACAAATCCTTGACTCGTTTGGCCAAAACTTAAAACACGTTTTTCTTTTCCTTTAAAACATAAGCCTTTAAAACTACGACCGATATTCCAGTATTCCTTGGATACCAAGGAACAGAAGAACACCGGCTCTGATACCAAAATGTCACATCCCGATCTCTAAAACCCTTAAATAACAATTTTTGCTCCGGAGCATATTTAAAATTTTGAAAGAAAGAAACAATAATGTGCTCGAAATACCAATACTGAAAATACACCTTATAATTTAAAAGCAAAGCCCTAACATTTGGGCAAACCTCAATCCATAAAGTTTTATCATTTTAAATCTCCAGTCATTACTCATAATCATAAAGCAAATAACTAAAGATTACAAATGCTGCTTACTCCGATCCGTGTTCAGACATCTCCAGAAGTGCTCACGTGGTCCTCCTCTGGTAGCCTGCTCTCTCACTGGATGCCCCTCGACTAGATGCTCTCTAGCTCCTACTTTACGACCTGGTGAGTGGGTTGGGGTCAGTCTACGCCATTACTTAAACTTGAAGCACTTACGGGTATTCCCTTAAGTGTTCACCTCAAAAACTTGTGGAAGTTGCTCATACTTCCATCCTTTAAATTTTAACCCTTAAAAACGTGGGAGTTGTTGTTACTCACCACCCTCAAAATCTTAAACCTTTGACCGAAACTGGGATCCCCTCACTAACTAGTCCAACCGCCCAGCTCATACGTATGAGGGCCAACATAGGCCTTTCCTTAAACCTTTTTATGGGAGTAATCAATTCAACCCCATAAACCTTAAGAGTATATCATACTCTTCCTTTAAACTTCATGTGATGTCTAAGTGATTCATCCACATGTTCCTTAAGAGCAAACTTGCTCTTCCTTTAAACTTTCACTGGGGTGGGGGACTGGCGTTAGTGAACTACCTTTAAATCTTTTCACCCTAATTTAATTAGGAGTGAAATACCTCTTAAATGTTGATCCTTAAAGATCAAGCAACCTTCATTAAATACACATAAATATAAAAGCTTCAAGTAAATACTGAAAGCTCAAATAATCATATACTTCACAATCATAACTCAAATAGAGCATCTCAGATAATATCTCAAATAAAACATGCTCATCAATAACGACATAAATCAATCATTGGCATACAATTCACATAAACACACATACTTAAAACTCGTAAGTCAAATACTTGAAAATACGTAAGGCGTAGAATTTACCCCCTTAAACCACTCACCTCTCAAATGACGATTCTTAGTTCCCTTGATGTTTAATCCTTAATCCGATCGCTTCCTCAATCCTATAAACTGAAATCATCTTCCCTTAGTCGGTAATCATCATATTTAGTCTCTTTAACGTATTGGAAAAAATTTCCATCATTGATCACTTAGTCCCAAAATCCTTTAAAAATGGCCCTCAATTTCTTTTAAATCAATTCCTTAAAACTTAACTTTTCAACCCTTTAATCAAGAATTAAATCATCTCAAACAATTCAATAACTCCTAAAATAGCTCTCATAAAATCCTCATAAATTTCTCAAAATAAATTTTCCACTTAAGACTCTAAATTCTGACCTTGGTTAACTCAAATCATTAATCTCAATTAATAAACATAAGCCCCTCTTTTAAATAACCTCTTTTTCCTATTAAAATTAATCATATATAATTTTTAAACCGAGTCACAAAAACTAATAATTCTCCTCTATAATTTTATAACCTCTGTAAATAATCATAGTTTCATGGAAAATTATCAAATCACCCAAACGACTTCGTACAGTATTTTAATTAATTAAAACCAACATTCGTTTAATTTTTATAAATACAAATACAGATCCAAAAATTCTAAAATTTATACACGAGCATTATACAAATATTCTCAAATTTATAAAATTATCATATTATGAAAATACCCACTGGAAAGTGTCGGAATAAACATACCCATGAAAACAAAATACGATTTTCGGGCCAAATTATCAAAACTTAAAACTATGAGGGACTAAGCTGTATGTACTGAATTCATGGGGGACTGATCTGGACAATAGCCCAGCAATCTTTTGCGACAGCGTCAATTTCGTCACTAAAAGACTGCAATTTGGTCACTGAAACCAAAAACTTGCTTATACGTTACTAACTCGAGTTAATCTTATAGACTCCGATCCGTTACCTTTGGGTTGATCTTAAAACTGGGCTTGATGATTCTAGATGCCGTTCCTCCTTGTTGATCCTCGTTTGAGCCCCCGACGTCTTGTGGCAAAGCTACGGTTCATTACGTATGCGGATCGATTAGCTACAACATAACTTGAGTCCGAAGGAAACTTGGGTTCGAGATTATTACCGAGCCTGGGTCGTATTTGCTTGGCGGGATAAGGCGGTACCGAGGGTCGTGCTACGAGTTGGCCAACGAGACGTGTCGGGGCCTGTGTGAAAACGAGAGGAAGTAAGGGCGACGGACGAATGACAACGCTCGCTTCTTGATTACTAGCTGGCGAACGTGCAGAGAGCAGTTGTGCAGCTGCTTGCTTCGGCTGCTGCTTCTCTAGGCGAGATCGGAATGGAGGGCGAGGTCCGCTGGTGGTGGCGATGTGTTTGTCGGCGGGGAAGGGATATATAACGAGGTTGGTTATGATAAATGGTGAGATGGTAGTGCTGAGGGAGTAGCCGATGCAAATTAAAGGAGATGAGAGAGTGATGGGAGCTCAGATTGTGATAGTATATGGAGGAGGAGAAGAATGTGGTCGTTCATGAAAGGAAGGGAGACTTCAAGTTATAATAGAGGGCACCGACAGTGTTGCAGCTGCTCCATTCCTTACTTAATTTCCAATCTAAAATAGTGTGGGCATGGATGTGTTGTACGCCAGCTCATGCACAGTTAATTGATAGGAGGGGGAGCTACTCATTATGGATTTATGGAGTGCTCACGGGTATCACCGGACAAGTGAATGGAATTACAATGATTTTATTGTAATTAGTGCAATTATCATTGGGGAAGGGTGATTAGAGAAAAAGCTAGATTAAGTGTGATTTGGAGTGGGTGTAACGAGTGAGAGTGAGAGTGAGAGTGAAATTGATTCTCACTTTCTTTTATAATAATAATAATAACACTCGTTAGTGTTATTCCTAATTCATGTACGATTGCAACTCTTCGTACGTAATCGTTAATCCAACCGTTCATTTAGTATGGTTGAACCTGAACCCAAATATCGGAGTGTTACACTCCTTTCTCCATCTCTCGGCTAATGCGGTGATGAGTTGGCGATCGATTTGGATGCCGTTAAAATGCCTAATCGAGTCTAACCGTGCCCTTTTGAGAAATGGCAAGATAGCTGGGTGGAATGGGAGCACATTGGTGGTACCCCTGTAGCGGATTATTGTTTGTGCGTCCTAGGAAAAATGTACACGTTAATTATTATTAGTAAGGGTTTTTTTCCGTATAACTAAATTAATTAAATTAAATTATGCGACATAAAACATAATTTTATTATCATAAAAAGACATTTCATATTATCATAAAACAAACGTCCTAAATTAATTAACATAATAACATTGTCAATGAATAATAATTTAAAGAGGTACATACATATTATCGTAAAACAAACATACTAAATTAATTAACATAAATAACATTGTCAATGAATAATAATTTAAAGAGGTACATACAAATTATCGTAAAACAAACATACTAAATTAATTAACATAAATAACATTGTTAATGAATAATAATTTAAGTAGAAACATACATATTCAAATGTTTGGTAAATAATTTAATCGTATTAGTTGTTTTAAATAATTTAATCGAATACAAAGCAACGCTCCTTAGACGTGCATCTCTTTATAAAGAGTCGAAGTAAGTGGCGCTATGTATTCGATTAAATTATTGAAAACAACCAACACGATTAAAAAATAAACATAAATTTATTTTATATTACACTAGGCACATTAACAAAATAAAAGAAGGACAAATGGTGAAGAATTGTATGTACCGGGTGATCGTTCCAAACATCCCTTGACCGATGGTTGGGTTGGTCGTACAAGTCGGTTGGATCCACCGGTCCTTGCTCGAGATAATACCGTTGGTTGTATATATCGACGTCCTCCCCAACCTACGAGAAAATAACAACGAGGTTAGTACATAGATTAATTAAAAAACTTATAACAACAACAAAAATTTAACCAGAATAATGAGTACATACCGCTTGAAATTCATCAACATAAACTCCTTCTCCTTGCCACCAATCGGCCATTTTTTCGGCGTAATTCGGACAGAGCTTCGGCTCGACTCGGAGGGTTTTGAGGAAAAAACCTAAGAAATGTTTTCTGATGGCAGATCGGACTTAGCCGCAACCAACAGACCACTATTTCCTAGGCTTTTGGGAGGGGAGGGTTTAGAGAGATAAATTGTAGAGAGAGAAGGAAGAATGGGTTGTGGTGTGAAGAAATGAGAGGGGGAGGGGGGGGTATTTATACCCATCAGACCGCACCCCCCAGGGGCGGTCTGGTAATTTTGGCCTAAGCAAAACCGCTGCCTCCCGATGCGGTTTGCGTTTCCCTAGGGCTGACCGCATCTCGGGCGTGCGATCTGCAGTCCTTGGCGCGGATCGCTCCCCTGGCAAGCGTTCAGCCGCTCGATCGCCCCTCCATCCAACGGTTTTGCAGACCGTTCCGCAGCTGGCGCGGATCGCATCGCCGGCGTGCGTTTCCTCATAGAGACCGCACCTCCATGATGCGTTTTATAGGTAAAACGCATCCTTCAGGTGCGGTTTACTTATAAAACGCATCATGGAGGTGCGTTCAATAAAAATAGGTGCTATTTCTGTCAATTTTTTCATATGTGTGCTAGTTTTGTAATTTTTTTTTAGGGTGCTATTATTGGAAAAAACTCACACTTCATCTTCTCCAAGATGATATTACCAACAAAAAAAACAAAAAAACTTCTCTAAGAGGAGATTGACGAATCCCCTCCTATGGTTTCCCCCAACTTCCCCCAACTCTAAAATCTCCCACAATTGGATCTCCTAGCTTTGGGTTCTACTCCCAGCCTCTTCACTTCCCCTTCGCCAGCAGCGAAAACCCTCCCCCACCTCACCACAGCCATCGCCGCCATCACAATCCCCAACTCTGTGCCGCTCCGTCGCCGTTTTTCTGTTCACAACCGGAGAAGAAGACAAAGGAGGAGGAGGCGGCGGACGATGAGAGATCAGTTCCATCCTCATCCACGAGCTTTCTTTCATCCGGCTTGAACCGTACCGACTCCGATTGTGGCGCCATCAATTGATTCTTGAAACTTCCCCTACTTCGGAGCCATCGGAGATCACTATTTTGTCTCCAGATCTGTTGCGCCACTACGGCGGAGAGAGATCCTGTCACTCAGAGTAGATCTACCTTCCTTTTTCTCCACTTTTTCAAATCCATCGAAAAGCAATCCCGCAGCCGCACTCGCTACCCTCTGGAAGATTCAG